TCTCTTCCTCCCTCCCTCCCTCCCTCCCTCCCTCCCTCCCTCCCTCCCTCCTTCCCTTCTTCCTTCTCTCCCTCTTTCTCTTTCTCTCTCTCTTTCTTTCTTTCTTTCTCTCTTTCTTTCTTTCTCTCTCTGTTTCTCCCTTTCCTTTTTTCTTTCTTTTCTTTCTTTGTCTCTTTTATTTCTCTCTCTCTCTCTCTCTTTCTCTTTCTTTTGAGAAAAGGTCTCACTTAGCTGGTCTGTACCTCACCGTGTAGACCAGGCTGGTCCTGACTCTACCTCTGCCTCCCAAGTGCTAGGATTAAAGGCATTCACCACCACACCCAGAGCAGCAATTCTTGAGACCACCATACCTTTTATAAGTTCCCGTCCCACCCAGGGTCAAGATCAATAGCCCTGTTCATAGCCTCCAAGCTGTCACTGTCTACATGTTCAAGAGGCTCTTCCTATACCAGCTTTCTCCTCAGATAGCCCTTTCCAGTATAATGTATAGTATAGTATAGTATAGTATAGTATAGTATAGTATAGTATAGTATAGAATAGTATAGTATATAGTATAGTATAGTGTATAGTATAGAATAGTATAGTATATAGTATAGTATAGTGTATAGTATAGAATAGTATAGTATAGTATATAGTATAGTATAGTATAGTATAGTGTATAGTATAGAATAGTATAGTATAGTATAGTGTATAGTATAGAATAGTATAGTATATAGTATAGTATAGTATATAGTGAAGTGTAGTGTACTGTAGTGTAGTATAGTATATAAATGACAGCCTCCTCTGGCCCCTCTCATGTCTCTCCGATGTTTTCATGTCTGGCTCCTTTTCCTAAATGGTTACAGTCCCCCTCCATCCCCCTCCTAGTCCTGTACAAGCCCAGTAACCCGAAGTCTGCTCTGACTTTCCAGACTATCTTTGGTTATGAGGCCTGATATGGGACAGAGTGAATGCCCATAGCCCATGTGGGACAGCAGCAGCATTTACAGCTCTCCTGTCAGCTCTGCCTGACCCAGTGTCCCCTCCAGTGCCTCACTGTTGTCCTTGCTGATATGATTTTTCTTTTTCCTTACGGTTTATTTATTTTTATGTGAATTGGTGTTTTGCCTGCATGTATCTCTGTGTGAGGGTGTCAGATGCCCTGGAACTAGAGTTACAGACCGTTGTGGGCTGCCATGTGGTTGCTGGGAATTGAACCCAGGTCCTCTGGAAGAGCTGCCAGTGCTCTTAGCTTCTAAGCCATCTCTCCAGCTCCCGGAACTGACTTTTCTAACACTTAGATGTGGTATTGAAAAACCTTCCCCAGAAGTGGGTTGATGACTTCAAGTGTACCAGGTCCCCAACCCAGAACTGCAGTGCTCTTTCTCCACTAAATGCTGCTCCTTTCTAAACTGTGACCTCAGAGCTAGCCCGTGACCTCAATACCCAGTACTCTTGGAGGATGTGGTCCAGACTCAGACATCTGGTTTTGCGCTGCCCTAAGCCAACCTGGAGGCTGGCCTTGACTCTCCCACCAGGCTAATGAGGATTTGTAACTGCCCACTGGGCAACAGGAAGCAAAAGGTCTGTCTATAGGACCTGAGACAGACAAGTGACCAGAGAGAGGTCCCCAGCAGAGCTCTATCTTGGAGGCATTCAGACAGCCCAGTCTAGTCCAGTGTAGTCCTGCAGTGCAGAGTTGAGGCAGGCAGCTTCTCCCAAAATCCCTGCTCCCATTGCTGAGGAAGGCTAGGAAGACAGAGCTAGATCAGAGGTTCAGAAATGTCTGGCTGACAAGGCCCTACTCCGCATTTCCCGGCCTGTACAGCAGGTCATACCCTGAATGCAAATGTAGCCAGCAGGTCAGGACTTGCAAAGACTCCACTCTGCAGCAGTTAAGTGATGGCCACCTTTGCCTTTCAGAGCACAGACACCAGGAACAGGGTATCCTCCCTTGTCTCTCATCATCCCGGGCTTCTCTGGGCTTGCACCTGCTAGGGCAGCCCATAAGAGCGGAGACATGAGAGAGAGGGATCCACCTGTGATTCCCAGCTCTGTCAGGTCTGAGAAGGGTCCAAGGGGTCACAGTGTGACTGGACAACATGTCCTATCCTGTGTGCTGGGAGGAGCCAGAGCTCCAGACAGGCACCGAGACCCACACACGTCACACCAAACCTTGGAAGTTTCCTTCCCTTGGAAATGAGGCAGACTGGAAAATCCTCTCACAGGCTCCACCCTGTATCCGTCTCAGAGACACTGTGAATGGTCCTCAGGACATCTACACCACCCGTGCCTGATGCCCTTGAAGTTAGGGTCTCCCAAGCGCCAAATGGTTTATTACAGGGGTTTTCATGCGTGGCTACCTCTGGGTGCTTTCTTCCCTTCTCCCCTCCCACGTCCCCACACTCCTCCTGCCTCTGAGCACCACCTGTCTCTCCAGCCTGCCTCACCAACCCCTGCTTGACTGTTGCCAGGGAAACCGCCTCCTTGGCAACAAGCCGGCATCCATCTGACAAGTATACTGGGGAAAGGAATGCTTCTGCCTCTTGCTTGGGCCGTTGCGAGCTCTGTTCTAGAGCCTAGATACAGCCCAGCTGGGGTCTCAGAGAAGGGGAATGCTATTCCTTCCCTGGTAATCTTCAAGCAACTGCATATTAAGCGCCTACTGTTTGCCTAATTTTGTGCAAGGCTTCTTATATGCACCCTCATGTATATTCATTCGTTGGGCCTGCAAGACAGATGTGATAGTTTCCATTTTGTAGATGGGGAAACCGAGGCATAGAGAAACAAAGAAGCTTCCTATGGCTGCAGATATCAGAGCTAAGAATTGAACCCGGCGGTCTTGTCTGTCTTCAAAGCCTGGTTCTTCTCACCATCTTGGAATCTGTGGTTTGGCCTCTAAAGACTCTAAAGTGAACTGGCCCCCACATCTAGTAAGGTGTTCCCTTGCTAACCCTCATTAGGTGGCACTCTTGGTGGGCCAAGTCCAGCTATAGGGTCAGAAGCTCACAGACAAATCAGGCATGGTCTCAAGACTGGATGCTATGGATGAGCGTTGGGTGTGATCTACTACAGAGAGCCCAGGGGAAGTTCTCTCTCTGGTCCTGGGTTTGTCGGGCTGTGTGGTCAGAGGAAAGACTGGGAGACACACTTCCGAGCATGCGTTATTTAGAGAGACTGAGTGGAGCTTAGCTAGCCAGAGAGGGTGGCCGGCGGGATAGCGATGACTGGAGAGAGAGAAGCGTGCCCTGGGCTCTGGAGTTGGACTCTGGCTTCCTCCAGCGAGGCATAGGATTGATGGATGAGGAGTGAGAGCCCCTGTTGGGTACCTCAGGTGTCTGTGAGCCCAGGATGAGTAAGAGGAGACCTAGAAGGTGGATGGAATCCTCCTGGGCAGAGTCTGAACCAGGAAGTGAGGGCTGAAGTGAGCAGGGAGCCTGGGTGTCACATCACGCAGACGGCTCCCAGCTGCTAGGGCCTCAGGGACCTAAGGACCAGCAGGGATGCCCTAAAAGGGCATGCATGTCCTTTCACTGGCCAGGTGCTAGTCTGGACAGAGTCTGGTGCTGGGCTTTGCTGGTGGTCCTTGAGGTGAAATGGTAAGGTAAAGACAGAACTGACCCTGTACAAGTAGGACAGGAACTTAGGTGACTTATGACTGACAGTTTTAATGGTGTGACTGTTCACAGCATGGGGACAGAGTGGGGGTGGGGGTCTGTCCCTCCCTGGGCTTCTGAAGCCCATCAGGTTAACAACAGGAAGTAAGGGTTGCTCCAGGAACCTGAGGACTGCCCTTCTCTGTACCTGCCACTGACTCTGGTGCCCTATTTCCCACAGTCCCTACAGCGTCGAGAGACAGAGGTCTATGCTTGCATCGAAGGAGAGGCTGGCAGCCCTGTCTCCAGCCAAAGCCCGGCCTCCAAGGTATGCCCCAGGGACCTCGGAGCCTGGCTCCTTCTGTCTTTCCTTCTGACCCATGTACACCATGTGAATGTAATAGACCAGAGAATTAGGCCACCTGAAGTTGAATGTCCCCTCCCCAGAAGCTGCCCTAATAGCCAGGAGGACTGGGAGCTTTGAACTCGGTTGGTCCTGCAGCAGCTGTGCAGCCATGGAGGAGATACTTATCACTCTGTGCTTGAGTCTCCTGGTCTGTGGTCCGATTAGCCAGAGAGAACCTCACCTCCCAGACTTGCTGTGAGGACAGGTCACTGTACAGAGAAGGCTACCTAGGACCAAGTGTGCACTCACACCGTGTGACGATTATACTCAACGCTGGTGACCACTAAGCAGTTACATACACTGGCCAATCAGGCCATAAGGTTTCCAGATGTGTGCTAGAGCCAGCTCTGGCTGGCCTGCTCAAGACTGTCACTATAACACGGCCCTGAGTGTACTCCTTAGTCATACTGTCTTTCTTAAACCTCAGTTTACTCATCTGTAAAGTGGGTGAGTAATATTGACCTGAGCTACCAGCTTTGCTACAATTCAGGAGTAACATGAGCACTGGAGCTTTGAACCCTACAGAGCGGCAGTGTGGTCAAGCTGGTGTAGGAGGTCTGCAAGATGGGTGGTCTCTGAGCATGCTGGAGAAGCCTCATAGATTACAAAAGCTGGCACTCTGCCATCCTCAGCCCAGAGTGCAAGTGTTTGTTGAATCTCTAGGTCTCAAAACCCTGAACTAGGCCCTAACTGGAAGCACTCCTACCCTGGACTACTGAAGATATGGTATCCATCCCAGTCACTGTCTATACAGGGTTAGGTTCTGGGGTGCTAGGCAGGAAAGGGAGGTACATTACCTTCTGGGAGCCTACTCTGTAGGAATAAACTACTGACTCAGAGGGCATGCAGAGATAATCTGGTAACTTGGAGGGACAAGTCCTGTGGAAAAGCCAGACTGGGGTGAGGAGAAAGGAGGGCTTCCTGGTCTCATTCATTCATTCATTCATTCTTATGTCTGGCGGCAGTTTCCCCTCCCTCCTCTCTTCCCACCCCCACCCCCCAGTGCCCCCCTTCCTGGTCCTCTTGAGATTTTTTTTTTTTCGAGACAGGGTTTCTCTGTATAGTCCTGGCTGTCCTGGAACTCACTCTGTAGACCAGGCCGGCCTCGAACTCAGAAATCTGCCTGCCTCTACCTCCCAAGTGCTGGGATTAAAGGCGTGTGCCACCACTGCCTGGCCTCTTGAAATCTTGAGATGTACCATGCAAGGTGAATTCTGGTAGTTAGGCACTGAGTGGCTTTGCAGAGCGGAAGAACTCACACTCCAGATCAAAGGAATGTCATGGGGAGGGAGGAGGCTAGGGAAGCTGACTAGGGGTAGTCTGGTGTAACTGGAGGGTGGAAGGCATGTATGGAGAGGCACGGCAGGAGACGAGGTGGGCTTGGAGAAAAAGGTCATGTTTCCTGTCAAAGTGACTCTCAGGAAGCTCTCTGCCAGCCCCTCGACCAGAACTAAATCAGTACAGATTCAAAGCCAGGCATGCTGGCTCATGACTATCACCCCTCCCCCCAACACTCGGAAAGTTTGTGATAAGTTCAAGGCCAGCCTGGGCTACACAGTGAGTTCAATTCAACAAACATTGGTTCAAATTTGTTCTTGTCCAGACTAATATTTTCCTCTCTCCCCTCCTCCCCCTCCCTCTCTCCGTCTCTTCCTCTCCTAGGAGAACCTGAATAGATTTGAGGATGACAATGAATTTAACCTCGTGTATGAAAATCTCTAGGAGAAGTTCTACAGGCTCCGAGCCTTATCCTGGATGAGGACCCCAGAGTCGCAGCTCTTGTCTGAGGACCTGCTTTGGGCCAGGAGTAGGGCCTTCAGGACAGGCCATCATGTCACCTGCCTATTCTGGGCTCTCCCTACCTTGGCCCGGTCTGCTGTCACATTCTGCATCCCAGCCTGAACAGTTCATGTCTCTGGGCTTTTGCCCAGGCTGTTCCCTCCATCAAGAATGCCATTCCTCCTCCCCTGGCCCCATGGGCAAAGTGGTCCTCAGTCCCACGGGGCTCTCTTGGATAGCATCTCTTTCCTCTTCACCCCTTGCTGCCTCCCCTGCAGAGCTGTGATGTGGCTGTCTTGGCATCGGCCTACATTTTGGTCCTCAGGCAGACTTATCCCTTGGGAGAACACAGTAGGATCCCTGTGAGGGCTCTGCCTGGCCGCTGAGCCATTCCAGCTCCTCAGCCCAGAGGCTTGTTCAGGGCGAGGACATGCTGGGTGGACTGGAAAATACTATGACTAAGGAGAGATGAAGAATGGGTATCAAAGAACTGCACCAAAGCTGGTTGGGCCCAGGGCCAGATATGGAGGCTGAGGATATGGCAAGCAGTGATGAGCCAGGACCAGGAGGAGGGAGGTTCCATACGTGCTGGTGAGAAAGGAGAATCTAGGCGCGCTCCTCCCACAGTGAGAACCCTGAGCTAGTTCCCCAATCAGCCTGTATGGGCACCTCTCCATGCCTGCCATCCTAGGTTCTCCAGGCATCTGTTCCTTATTCTAACCTCTTAGATGCAGTTCCCCCAGTTCCTCCTTGTGGCCTACTCTGACCCCACCACCTGCGGCTTCATGCCCTTTTCCTGTCTTTATTTATTTGCTTTTGGCCCATGTTGCCTCCCCTGAAGATGGAGAGCAGCCTAGCTGTCTCCATGCCACCTCTCACCACAGTGGTTTGGCTGTAGTGGTTTGCTGCTGAGCCTCCCCTGGGTAAGTCTCTGTGCTGAGAAACTCAAGCCAGGGTGGATCGAAGCTCCCCAATGCCTCTCAGCCTTTCTGGCCCTCCAGGAACTCACTCAAGGGACCCTTCATTCACCCTGCAGGCACCCCCTACAATAGGGAAGCCATCTCCTTGGAAGACAGGGACCGAAGGGCTCAGTTTCTGGGGTGCAGGGCTCCTCTCCTACCCTGCTTCTGTCCTCTTAGCCTGCCTTCCCTTCAGCTTTCCCAGAGGTTACACTTTAGCTGTGGTAGATAGGCCAGTCTCCCTCCCCTCCTTTCCAGGCTGCTTCTGAAGTTCCTGAGATGTTCTCATTCCAAAATCCGCATGCACCCAGGGAATATGGAGATGTCCATGAGTAGACACACCTAGCCTGGCCCAAGCAGTGTTGAACTATTACTGCTCAGGCAGTAGAGGGGTAAAGAAGAAGGCACAGATGCTTCAGAAGATGATGTCCAGAAGCACCTGTGGACAGTGGCTCCAGGCTTTTTTGAGCCCAAGGGATGGACTCTACTCTTGAACATCCAAGAAGCAAAGCTCTTCATGGGCTGTCAGACTGAGTGAAGGCCCATGCTCCTTTGAGGCTGGCTTGATGAATTCCTGGTCTGTAAGGAAGAAACCAACTGCCTGGCACAAGAGATGCCTCTAGGCTCCTGACTCCATTGGTCTGAGATGAAGCTCAGCACTGGAGTGAAAACCTTAGCCAGGAAGAACCATTGCCTCTCTTACCTCCTGAGCTTTACATCCAGTCTCTGGATTCTCTGACTGGGACTCATGTTTTTTTTAAACCCTTTCCATGAAGGTGAGGGATGCCTGATGGGACTTCATATTGCACCCAGGGCTCCCAGCAGTCACCCTGTTCCCACTGCCACATCCCTACAAAGCAGCTGGGGGAACCTGACAAAACATACTTTGTCTTGTTCCTTTCCCATGAAAAAGCCTTCCGTGGTTTCTACTTTACTTAGAATAAAATCTCCTTGCTGTGGCCTAGGGGCCCCAGGAAGACTGACTCATTGCCCCTTGTGGAGACACAGACATTGCCAGAGTGATGGCTGAGTGATGGGGGCAAAGATGGGCCACGGGGGGCGGGGAGGGGCAGAGGTTACCCAGGGCTCTGGTGATCAAGAAGAGAGACTGGGAAGGAAAGAAGAAGAAAGAAAGGAGATGGAGGAGGAAGAGAAGGACAGTTTGGGGTGAAGGGTGGGATATAAGAGGGGTTTTCATATTAGGGAGAATGGGAAAGAACATTTTAGGGCTCCCAGGAGTCAACAAAGAAGACTGAGCACCCAGACCCCTCCCCCAAGCCTGAGAGCCAGCAGAGGGGAGCTGATGCAAAGATGAGGGGTACAGATGGGAGTGATGAAGGAGAAGGGGGCCCCAGAATGTGAACCCCTTGGGAAGAGGCTCTGAGTGGGAAGAGAGAGGAGAGGCAGGCTGGGTGGCCACAGGACCTCCCTTAGGACCCAGCTCCACTTCCTAGCAGCAGCTCAGGCTTGATTAAGTGTCACTACCTGCTTGCCTTAGCCTAGGTTTCCAGCCACAATCCAGACCACTCAGGGTATTGTAGTAAAGGCTGGCAGGGAGGTCCCTGGGCCCTGCTGAGGGTCGGTGGGTGAGGGTGTGTTTCTTTGAGATTCAAACTGCTAGAGCAATGGGAGGAGCCTGCAGAGAGAGAGGAGAGAGAGAGAGAGAGAGAGAGAGAGAGAGAGAGAGAGAGAGAGAGAGAGA